GTCAATATTCTTGATTTTAGCAATTTAAAAAAAAAACATTACAATTAGTTTAAATTTAGTTTAAATACAAAAAAAATTTTTTTTATTGTAGATATAAATTTAATCTATTAAATTTAAACAAAAAAACTAATATAAAAAGATTCAAGAAATGATTTTTCATTTTTAGGTATCAATTTTTTTTTTTTTCTTTTCAACAAAATGTATAAGTATAATAATATATTATATATATACATATATTGGATAAATTGTCATCTAAATTATGCAAAAATGAAAGTAACACTGACATCTCATTTCAACAGTTATTTACCAAAATTACACAAAACTATCTTGAAATACTAAGAGTAAATTTATTCAATAAAATCGCCATTGGCTTCAACCACAGCCACAGATGATTTCAGAATCTCCTGCAACTCTTCTGGATGGTTTCCTTGTTTAAGTTGGTAAATGCTGCCATAATCCTTGCCTTCAGTTCATCTTTGATGTTACAAGGAGTTTTGTTGGTCTCTCACTCAGCTGTGCCCCACACATAATAATGTGGGGGGGGGGTTGCATCCTGGGGAGTTAAGTGTGCCAGATGTAAAGGGTGATGTGGTCACAGAAATTGTCTCATAGTCACAACTGAGTTCTCTTTCTTGTGTGGTATGGTGCAGAGTCTTGTTGCCAGACATAGGGTCTTCCAGCATTCACCCTCTTGACCCAGGGCAACACTACCTTCTCAAGGCACTTGATGTAGGACTTATGTTAAGTCTGAAGTCCTTACCAACAAATTCGGGAGTTCTTTTCTTATCAGAACAATCAGTGAGTTTTCCAAGCTGCTGTATCTCCATAATCATCATTAGACTCATCCAGATCTTTCTGAAGATCTTGCACTGTCTCAGGATTGACAAAATACTTTGAAAGGTTTGTATTAGAGGTTCCATATATAAAATTTAGCAATTTATAATATGCCAAAGGCAAAAAAATGCATAGTGAATTGATTTTAAATATTTAAAAATTTTTTTTACTAGATGCAGATTATCCAAAACAAACAACATGCATGCACAAAATTAAAAATATAAAATATGACATTTACCCATTTGCACCAAATATTTATACAAATTCATATTTTTGATATTAGTTTACATTAATTACACAGCTTGTAATTTTTGAGTAATGCACTAATATTTTTTTTTATTTTTTTAGTAGATATGTAATTTTTCAACTGATTTGATTTCCAAATTGCCATCTTTTGTAATGCTATGATGTAATAAGTTATTGATATAACTGAAGATAAATAAAACTTGAACAATCATGCAAGTAATTTGTCTAGATGGCCAAAATAGATAATTCTGTATTTTTGGAACTATTTTGTATATAATGAATCATTATTAAAGATTTGAACTTTGCCTCAAAAAAAGTAATTGCTATTCTTTTCAAATATCTAGCTTAGTTTTATTTTGTATAAAAAAAAAACGCCTTCATGGATAATATAATATAGTACCAGTGAAAAGAAATATTGGAATAGAAAAAGTGTGTGAAAGACAAAATAGAATGAAGATGGGAATTCTGAATAGAGCTATGAGTTTAATTTGAGAATTTGGTCAAAACCAAATTTTGGCAATTGCTTTACATGAAGATTATTTTGGTAATCACATCTAAATTTTGCATTTCTTCCTCTTTAGAATATACAGAGTGTACTATTTTTACAAATAAACCTGAAAGTCATGCACATATACCATTATCTCAACATATAATTATTATGGACCAGCTGCTTAGATTAACCAGTTATATTCAAACTTATCTGAAAATTACTAAATGATTTAGTTCTTTCTAGGATTTGCAAATGTAAACATTTTTATACTTTAAACTTTTATACTTTAAAAAATTGTTTATTGAATTCAAAAATGCTTTTCTGTAAATTATTATTATTCCTTTTAGTCTTCTGTATTTAAACTTTATTCTGTACTGATCCGACAAATACTTAGAAAAATATGGCGTAATTTTGTCATTTTTGATTCCTCATTCTAAAATTTCAATCTTTTTGTAATGCTATATTAGGTGAAGGTGATACCATTTTATATAGGCAGCATTATTTTTTCTTCTGGTATAATCATTTCTAACATTTGACCATTGCTAAAATAAATTCATAGCTTTCATCTACCTAGTAAGCATTCACCAAAGATTTTTCTGTAATGTAGCCACACAAAAGCTGTCAATTGTTCTGTGTACTACACTTTTATACCATGTTAATGTTTAATTTTTCTTGTAAAAATGTATTTTTAACTGCAATTCAGTATTGATCATAAGTTTTCTTTTTCTTCTTCAACTGACATAATTATTGAGAAAGTGTCAAATTCAAAAAAATTATCCAGCTGCATTTGTTACAGGTATTAATAATTAATACAATTACTTTTGTTATTATTGATTAAAAAATGATATGCAAGTATAAGATTAAAAACTCTATAACTAATAGGAGCCATTTCATGAAACCTTTTGTTTCTATATCTGTTTGGATGAGCAATATTATTTTCCTCTAAATCTTGATTCCCCAAACACTTGTTTTAAAACTTATTACTAGTTATTTATTAAAACTGACCCAAATGTTGACATACTAGATTATTACTAGCAATGTTTCTCTTTTTCCTTTGTTAAAGACTCCTATTTTTTTTTATTTTTTATAATTGTTTGATAATATTCTACAAGCTCTTTCTCTTTATTTTTTGTATTGTCTGATAATCTTTATCAGTGCTTGCAACCAGCCACTATGCTACTGTCTTGGTGTGACTCAATAGATTTCAACTTGACAAATTGACTTTTGGTTAATTCCTCTTTTCTTTTTTTTTTTTTCCATCATACTTCTCTTTGTAAAAACAAACTAATTAAATCATATCCCTCCTTTTTTCCATTGATTTATCAAGAATATTTTCCAAGCAGTTTTGAATGCACCCATACACTTATTTCCTCAGTTTTTTTGTCCTTAGCCTCTTTCTGTATTCTGTCACTTTTCAGTCCTCCCATTTGCCTTGAGTAAACTTCCTTTCATATTGTCCCAGTATTGATTCTGTCTTCATGTATACATGAAATTTTTAAATGTAATTTATACTTGAGTACTAGAAAAATGTTTCTCTTTCTATTAATGCTAAAGTTCAATGTCATTCATATCTGTCAGACATTGTATCATTCACCGGCTTTTTTTCTTAAACTTGTTTGAAAATAATTCTTTTTCTTAGTCCCAATATGATTGTGACAATTTCAAGAAGTTGCAGGTGATACTGAAAAACATGTTTTCTTTATTGTTTTGAAGTTTATTCACTTTTCTTGATGATTTTTTCTTACTGCAAATTTAATAACTTTCAGAGATTTTTTTATTTATTTACTTTTTAGCATTTCAACTATGTTCCCTTTACATTAATCACATGATTTCATATTTCAAAATGTCCTTCAATTATCTTCATTTTGAGTTTGACTTAACATAAAAAATATCTGCATATGCTCTTGTAAGTTTCATGAACATTTTTTTCATGCACAGATCATATCTTTTATCAATAACTAGCATAGTGTTCATCAGGAATAACTGGATTAGTTACATATGGATTGGCAATTTTGCCTGCAATCAGATCTGTCTAAAAATATTTTCTTTCTTTAGTAAATTTAATCCAATACATGGCTCAAGACTTACACAAGGTAGGGGGGGGTTATAGTCAAAATCATAAGTATGAATATGATATGAAGGGAAGAAAAGGTGGTAGGAATGATGAGGATAGATAAAAATTGCTCTTGACTTGAAGTCAAGATTAAAGTGCTCAGGGAAGTACCATGTGAGATTTTTCTACAAAGTGGAAGTTCTTAGGTGGAAGCTGCCTGAGTGGAGCTTCATTTTTACATTTGGAACATTGAGGAAATGTTCAACTCCATGGAAGTAACATGGTGTGTCATAGTAGTAAAGGTCTGAACTGTTGGAATGAAGTTCATGGCTATCAACTGCTTATCTACTTATTCCCACATAACAGAATTGGGACAAACAAGGGAGAGGAGGAAAGAATGTATGGAGGAGGAAAGATAGAGGCTAAGCAAGAAAGCTAGAGAAAAATGAACAAATTTGAAAAGAAATGGAGAAAGGAAAGAAAAACAGGCTTGTTATTTTAGTTTTATTATTTCTTTACTCATTTGGTCTTTTAATGTGGGTGATTCTTTAATTTTTTCCTTTTGAAGTATGTAGTAAGGTACACAGATACTATGGTATTAAATATAGATTGCAGAAATAAATGGTTGATACTATGAATTTTTCTAAGATTAAATGCAGCAGTTAACTAATATTTTTGAAATAACAAATTAGCTCCTTGGAAATAGAATAAATAAACCAGTTTTTGGTATATTCTATCATTGTACCTATAACATAGGAGTAGATAGGTTTACCTATCATCAGGTTCTTACTTCTCCCTGGTCTTTTGAACAGGAGTAGAGGTTTCCTGTTTAGGATTGGGTTTCTAAGGTCTACTTCAACTCTATACTTCTAATGTCTCTGCCTAAACTCTGAAATTTTACTTATTATTTATTTTTATTTTTTTCGCAAAAGCAGTAGATAGGTTCACCTATTGTCTGGTCATACTCCTCCCCAGTCTTTTGAACAAGAGTAGAGGTCTATCTCTTGTTTCCTGTTTAGAATTGGATTTCTGGTTCCTTGTTAGGTCTTTTCATTCTCTTTTACTGCCAGTAGCATCTTATCACTTGTTTAGGGTAAATTGATTTGAAAAAAGGAGTCATACTCAGTCTCATAAAATCTGAAGATGTTGGTGTTTTGTAAATTTTGCATCTCATTGTGAGATTCTATTAATGATCCACTTGCATAATGATAGATACTTCATATGTTAATCCCTTATTATATTGTTTTATTTATTTAACAATTTCTTGTTTGTTTCAGGATCATCCATGAAGGAGGCTTCACAAGTGAAGATAATAAACAATACAAACCCGTGGTTTACAGTAACACGATACAATCTCTAGTAGCTATTATTCGAGCTATGGGAACGCTCAGTATCCCTTTTGGAGATAATGAAAGAGAGGTTTGTATTATTTTACACTATTTTTCTTCTATAATGAAATGAAACTTATTTAGATTTTTTTTTCTCTGTTAGAAGAATTTTTTTTTTTTTTCCAAACAAGCTTGTCTAATCAATTAAAGTCTCAAATTTTTATATTTATACTAAAAAGAAATATCACATTTGGATATTGTCTTATAATGAGCCCAAACAAATATGGCAACATCTTAAATTAAAAACAAATGGTTAAAATTTATTATTATACCTTCAATTAAGATAATATTTTTTTTCTCAACTATGCCAGGAGTTTTGTCAAATTTTGTATATATAAAATATAAATATTTACCACTCTCACTGAATGTCATATTTATTTTCTAATTTTCTTCATTGATCACTGGCATCAGTTCTTCAAAATCTGTTTCTCGTATGTTAAATATTAGCTCCTTTATTCTCCTATCATTAATACCAATTTATTTTTTTTTGTTTCAATATTACAGATATATTTGATTGGAAGTTTGATAGATTATTCTTTCTCAGGTCTAAAAAAAAAAATGTATACTGAAACAAATTTTAAAGAGCTGCAAAATAAAGATTTTTTTTTTTTTTTTTAATACTTACACCAATTATGTCATGTTTGGTATCAACTTTGGTAATCAAATATCAAATTGTTTATTGGCATTTAATGTATGTTTATTGTATGAAATGTCTTTTTCTTCTACTCTCAATTGAATCTTTATACAAATATGTTGATGCTTTATTGATTCAACTGTGTTGTGCATTTATTTCTCAAGCTTTTAATTCAACTTTCTTTGACAGTTCAGTATCTTCATTATTCCTGTAATTGTTTTTATTCTATAAGCCAGTAAGTTTCTGCTTCCTCTCGGATGCTTGATTGCACTATGCATCATTGATCGATGCTTCTTTCATATTACTCTCTTGCCATGAGTGGATGAATAAATAGCTGCAAATTTTTCATCTGAATAGCTTTCTACTAATTTCTGTAACCATTTACACAGATGAAAAAACAACTGGTGCAAAATCTTTATTATAAATTGATAGCACCGGGCTCATAGTTGGCCACACTGCACTTTACTATAAATTTTTATGAAAAAAGGAATTCATTTAATACACCACTAATAGAAGAATTATGATTATTTGATCAGAGTTTGATAGTGCATTATTAAATGCATATAATGTAATAGCTCAATAGTTATTGAATTAACAAATATATTCTTTTACTCAGTTTCTTTGCTGAATAGTGAAGATAACTTTCAAAAATTCTTTCAAAACAGAAATTGTAACTTGGAATAATATAAAATCCTGCATTAATTTTATTGCATTGGAATTATTCACAGATAGCTGGTTATTTGTCATTCTTTTAAATTACAAATACCCACTTGTTGGTTTTGCAATTCTTGAAAATTTGCACCTGAAATGAAAGCATACATTATCATTCAACTTGAGACTACACGTTGACTTTGCTCTAAATTAAAATATTTGGGAAAAGGTCTTCCTCCTATTATCACTGATTTTGTTTATATTCAAATTAGTTTCCTGAACTAAATGCAGTATAGGAAGGTTTTATCCTACCAATTCCTTATGGTAGAAATTAACTATCAACTTTTTTTCTTTCTTTTTTTTTTTTTGTAATGTTCTCATTGTCTCTTTAACAATTCATAGTTGATGATTAGTTCTCTCAATGAAATTTTTACCTGAAATTCTGTTTTCTATCAACTGAAAAATGGTTTTAATTTTGAATTTATTATAAAATGAAACTTTTGTTCATTTCTCCAATGTTATGACAAAAGAATAAATCACAAACTGTGAAAGTAGCTTGACTAATAAACTTATTCTTTAAATTCAATTCTTCTGCTCAGTACTTATTTACAATTGTCCTTGCTCTACTCTATGAAGACTAAATATAATCTTTGATTTCAAATACAATCTTTATTAATGTCACTTTTTGAAACATTTTCTTTTATTTATTTTTTCTTTTCTTTTTTTTTTTACTTTGAGTTTAATATTTATTAATAAGATGATGTAGACTTTACAGTAGACTCCTTATCTAGTTGGTAAATGATTGTTTTCTTAGGTTGAATGAGTATTTATTCTAATATAGTTTATTTTTCTTGGAATAATTTTTGCTATGAACAGCATTGATTTTAAAAAGTACAATCTACCAATTGAGAAGCTACCAATTTGTAGTTTCTCCTTTTGATTTTTGCTTCTGACAACAAAACTTCTGACCCTTTGTGAATTTGATTTGATCATAGATATGAATTTGAATCTTATTTTTAACCTGCTAGATTTGTCAGTTTACAGTTTCTGCAAAAATAAGAATTGTTTAATAACAAATATACAGACACACTACATTTATGTAATCGGATAATATAACTACAAGCATGCTGAAAAGTTCTTGACTTTACCCACTTCCCAGAATCTGACCAAATCAAAAACCAAAATTTTTTTAACACTTCTTGATTAGGATGAGAATGTTTTAGTACCTTATACATAAGTGTATTTTGTATTTTATTAATAAATTTATATCTGAACTTTTTTCTACCCAAGAGTGCAATTGGAAGTTTACTGAGAAATGGTTATAACAAAAATTTTCTTTAACGATAAGATATTTTCACTGTTTATCAAGCCAAGTAAAAGCAACTTGGAAATGAATTTTAACAATTGCTCTGAATATTTCTTTTTTACATTTATTTGCATATCATTGTAAGATACATTTTTTTTTTTTAATTCTTTAAAGTTTTTCAAATAGATTAATTCCCATGACTGAAATTTATATAACTGCAAGAAGTAATTATTTCAGTGTATGTTGTGATTTATACAGCATTTATCAGTTTGATAGATGTTTACCATATAGAAATCCAAAAGAGCATTTCTGTTGTTTAATGTTTGCAAATGAAACTGAAGATGACATCATTTAGCATCTTCACTTTACTCACTGAAGATAAATTGCTATAAAGTGCATAACATAAGGCAATGATTAGGAAGTTCACCTTGTCTGCTAGTTTATGATTTAGAATTTTACTAGATACCTTACTACTATGACTTTGAGCTTAAAGTTTATCTTGGTAAATAACTAAGATAAATTGCTGTTTAACTATTGATTTTTCTTTCCAATTCTTTAACAAGGTTCAATGTTTGTGATAGGAATTTTCTAGATCCCAATTAAGGAGTCATTTAAGTTACAATAAAATCATTATTTAACCGGCTTGAATGAGAAAAGATTGAAATTTTATCATTAAGGTATATAGATTTTTATGTGATAATATAGTTATATTGTCTGGTTCATGTAAATACTCAGTTTCAACCATGACTACTACAATTAATACTTGAAAGATTTCTACAAAACCTTTCTAAATATTATGTTTGGAAACAAATTGTTAGTCTTCTTTTGACATTTAATATTCTACTTGAAGTTAATAAACACTACAATACCTCCATATACATACTAACACACATGAGCAATTTTGCAAATTATATAATTTCTTAAAATTGAGCTTTGGTTATCACTTTGGATACATATTTGGTTTAGCACTTCCAATACTTTCTATTTTTTGTTATATTTTAGTGAGTGCTTTTTTTTCTCTTTTTTTTTAGTGTTTGGAAGTAAAACTTTGAGTAGTGAGATGTTTTAATTATAAAGTTCAACATTACATACACTTCTTACACTTTTCTTCCATCTCAAGTGCACGCATAACTTTGTCAGTTGCCTTCTATCTTTATCATTTGTCCGCTTGTTTATTTTTCCTGTCAATCGGAAAAATAATTTTTTTTTTTTTTTTGATTTCATGGATTGCCTGATGTCTGACTTCTGTATATTGGTGCTGCTGTATTAATCTGAAAGTTTTCTAGTAGCAATTGCTGTATTAATTGGTGCTGTAAAATTTTTACATAAGAAACAGGATTCAGTGTTTCATCAAGAATCAGGGGAAACTTGTGCAGTCATGGTCACTAATATTAGTTGCTTCCTTGGTGATTGCTCATCAGAACCCTTAAAAGTCAGAACTGAGTTTTTGAAACAACTTCTTATCATAAGAAAGACACTTGAGTTCAAGTACTTTTTGATATAATCTAAAGCTGTTATTGAATCTGCTAATTCACTTACTCTTTTTACAATTTTTTGTGATTTTCCCTTTGTTTTTGCCATCATTAAATCATGCTTATTTTTTAAAACTTGAAATTATTTTCAGTTCATTGTAATTCAGATTTTTTTATTTATTTTTTTTTGTGGAGTTTGATTTAACCTAAAAAGTTATCTAATAACATGTATTATCTACTTTCCCTCTTTCACTAAAATCTGAATAAATTCACTATTATTTAAACTAATTATAGCTCTTTTGTCCTCCAGACTACAAATATTAGCACACACCACTTATAATTATTGCTACTGATAACATTATTTCAGTTCCCAATGCAGAATTTAATTGTATCTATATTATCACCAGAAAATAGTAACAATATATGGATTCAGTTAGCCACGATCTTCCTAAAGAAAATGACAAAACTAAATATAAACCATGGATCATTATCTGACATACAACCACATACTCATGTGTTTTCATACTGTGCCACTAAAAATGATAGTCTTGGACATTAAACAAAATAAAATTAAAAAAAAAATATGAAGATATGCACACAGTTTTCAAAGTAGAGCTGAACTGTATCAATTAATGATGGAACTGAACATCATTTGGCATGTGGTAGATCAGTGGGGCTCACAGAAAAAGACAATCTTTTTCAGCTGAAAATAAGCCATCTGCTTGATTATAATGGAAAGGAAAATAACCAATTTAGTACATTGAATTTTTTGCCAATAGTAGCATTGCAGACAATATAGAAAGTTTTGAAAGTATATCAGATAGAGTAGCTTTGATAATATTCACATTATACAAAAGACCTGCTTGGATTACATTTAAGGTGTATGTACCAACTTAGAGAAGATGAGGAACTGGGAGTTTTTTTTTACAACAGTAGCATGATGAACAGAGAAATGCAATTACATCATT